CGACCAGTGTCAGAAAGTGTACTCTGTGTGCGTCACAACGTCACTTGGCCAGGTGAGACTAGTCAGCTGATCGCATGAACCACCTGCGCCGAAATGTGTAAATAATCGCCATCCGTTGCCTAATGCTGCTGTAACGACCAAGTAACTATTCACCAAGTACACCTGAGTCTGCTAACTAGAACTTGTCATCATTGGTTCTCGGCATTATAATACTATTTGAAAATTCAACAGTCGAGTCAAAATGAGAACTTAAGCTGTTTATTGTTTTTATACAATTTTTGGGTCGTCAAAATAATGGTTACGTAAATTATTTTCACCATGCAATGTAAGCGGTTGAACTTTTGTAGGTCCAAAAGCAATGACATAAAACCGATTGGAAGATGATCATGCAATTTTATTCGATCAAGTAATGTTTTAACAGTCCCATACACAGAAATCGATCTTTATGGAAATATACATAACATAAGTTAGACATTGACCCTTTATGTGATGTTACATAATGTGGCTGGGTAGCTGAGTGTGTCATGATGTAGTTATTTAAACAATCGAATGGTTGCCGGATCGATCCTGAGAAGTCAACAGCTTATTGATAACAACGCTACACAGATCTTACCTTACCCCATATACGCACATAGGTCCCCATTTCAATTAATAATAATGATAACACATGCAAATTTGCATTGGCACATAAAAACGCGATGTATCTAATCCCAATGGGCCAAATGGCATAGTGTACTCAAAAGACTCGCAGGAAAAGACAAAAGAAGCGAAAGAGACCTTGACTTTATAACGGTATTTCATGAGAGTGGAATCACCATCTTCCCATTCTGCGTCTTCCGTACACCTAGCTGAGTAGCCAATGGATATGGAACAAGGCGATGAATTGATGATGTGAGAAATGAACCGTAAAAAGATTCCTAACCAACCAAACAGATAAGAAGTGAGAAACATTTCCGTCGTGACACAGCAGTTTAGTTTAACTGCATGACAATTGTTGGCAGCCACTTACATTGCCAGAAATGAACAAGCTGAGTAATAGAATCTTGTTTGTTGGCGAAAAATAACTGTGAATATGAAGTTCATATCAGAGGGGTTTCTATAAGACCATTGAGTTTATATCCGGTCCGAACCAAGGACCAGCTGACTTTTTATAGAGTTGCAAAATAAGTGCATCACCTATACGCTAAAAAATGTGTTGGTGCGATCTGAATAGAAATTAACAGTCACGAAAATTATTAGTGAAGCCCCTCTTTCTTGACTTCCAGTTTTTTAATGAGCTAGACCATATGTTAAAAGCGAGTGTAGGGGTCCTGACCACTTGTCGTATATTCAGGGGCTATATTTATATAATCTAACGTAACCTAAAAACCAAACTTCTATATGCGGATTAGAGCCAGAGGGGCCGGTTCTCCGTTTCCCTGTAGAAATTGATATTCTGTGCTCGCTCATTGAAAGGCACAATTAAAGGAGTTAAAAGTCGTATTTGCTACCCACCTTCTTCCTCATATTTTTAACTTTCCTGGTTTAAATCGGATGATTTAATGGCCAATGCCATGGAATTAATCAAACTGATATGCCCTTAATTCATTGTACTGAGGTTATAAATGGACAGTAAGTGAAATACTACAACTTTGTAAAATTGTATTTAACATCAAAGCTATGCGACGGAACAAAAGTCACTGAACTAGTTTTCTTTTCATAAATCCGAGACAATGCCTAAAAATAGGGAAAACAAGGTAGATGTTCTTTTGATTAAGAACTACTTGTCCTTCAAAGGGATCCATAGTTGTAAGTACTTCATATATTTTAGTGGTTTTGAAACCATACAAGGTATTACATCCACTGAAGAATAATCCAATACCTAAAGCGCTCCGAATCCGATATATGTTCCATGCATTCAATTAACAATTTCCTCCCAGCACTTCACCTACGGACACTTGGAGGTAAATGTGAGCGGATGACTATCGTGCCATGACATTTCCTCGTTATCTAACAGAATTGTGCAGCTGCATGCAAGAGGCATTCAACTGCCGAGAGCCGAGTGCACGAATAGCCTTGTGTTTATCATTGCTTACGACTGCAATTGCTAAACGATTGTGATGCAAAATTGAGACAGAGGACCTCGACAACGGCTAAATAAAACTGATTCATCGACAACTTGTATTCCTTGTGTAGGTATTTATTTCCAATTCACTAGTTTGGTAAACTATTTATTATCATGGATTGAACTTAGTCCCTTACTTATCACCCTCTTGGATGACGTGAATCAAATTTTACAGTATGCTTATATTCAGGTAAATGCAATAACGTCAGAACGTTGATAAGTCTTATATTTTATACGTTACGTTATTTTGATAATTTGGAAGTAATAGTATTCTGAAGATACATTTGTACATTGCTTGATCCGTGGTAATTTGAACAGTAAAGCGCACAAGTACATTTACCACGGATACAAGAGAAACGACCAGTTGTCCTAAACACATTCAATTAACTGAATAGAAACGCACGCCGTACTTCGATTTTGCATTAGGATGAGAGTCTGTATAGTAGTTGTTCTCTCGTCCATATAGTTATTATTTTTGCACAGTTTATTATTTTACAGAGCAATTAATTTTAAATGTCTTCAAGATGTGATTTACTCAATTATTTCATCGCCCACAATGTAGCATCGAGTGCTCGACTACTTTGTTAAACTAAACTATTTTATCAAGCAATTATCTAGAGTAGTAAATCTCGAATTGTTGATAAACATATTAGTTTTATCTCCGACACACCTCCCATTCAGTTGAGTAAACATGTTATGCAAAGTAGTAAGAACAATAGAGCCGCGATTTTCAGATACGGTGATTAATTAAGAGGTACGGTGTTTAGCTATTTCAGAGTTATATTAGCATCTTACTTTCTGTAAGATCCGATTCTAAAAGATAACACGAGTGTTGTCATTGAAGTTTAGACGACAAGAGAATAAAAAGAAATCTCGTCACATAGTAAGACACGATACAACATGGCATTTCACTTGAGGTATAAATATATTGTATGGCTTTCATAGACCACTACCATAGCCAGTGAAGACTGAAAGCTACCAGCTTCATGTTAAAAAACACATTACGTATGAATGTCTCTAAACACAGATCTGAATCATACTACTGTATTATATACCGCCGGTGTGCTTTGCAGATTCTCGAACAATTCTTCATGGAAATTAAAACTTCATTAACTACACTACTTAATATACTGCAAAAACTATTAGGTAGAGCACATTGCTACTGTGATAATTCCGATCTACTTTTATCAGCTAAGGATGGAAATCGAATAAAAAATAAAAACGCCCCATCTCTAGACTAGACCATCTACTGTTTTATAGTTATGTAACCAACAAAACTCAATAGGATTGAGAAACCCGTGGTGAGGTCTATTGATACATCAATAGGTCGGTTAGTGTTTAACGAAGAACAAAATAAGTAATTTCTAAAATTGAAAGTAAATAGCATGTTTGGGTTTAGAAAACCCTTTTATTCAAATGTTTGTGATTGCCAATAAAAACAATGCCCTTAAATAACCAGAATATGATTATGTAATCAAGAAAATCTAATGAATTTGGTCAGATTTGGTTGTACTAAGTGTTATCTTTATCCGCTGACTGTTAAAGTTAGTAAAGAACAAAGAGGACGCAATGCCTATAACGTAAACATGTTAGTGAACCAGTAATACTTTAAAAACACTTGTTGATGCAAGGGACCAGAATTTCCAATAATGCGTTACACCCAAAGTCAACCAAATGTTACATAACCAAGACTCGAGAGAGGAGATTGATGGTATCGTCGAGTTCACACGGAGTCGATTTAGAGCTGCCCACTTATTGGTTAAGACAAGATGTATAACTATTATAACTAGTGGTCGTCCAGTGGTCGAAAACTCGACCAAAAACATGTTACGTACACGTATTGAATATTGGGTACTGAGGTAGACTTCCCATCTATATGGACCAGCTGTCACATTTTTTTATTAATAAAAAAACATGTAGTTGTGTGAGCCATTCACCGAAAGCGTGTCTTAAATTTTATTTTCTACCTTATTTTTTGTTGCTAATAAAGTTGATGGGTCATAACAGTTGCTATATCTCATTCAAACAGTTTGACTTAAATCTGGTGACAACTTAACATGGGGATGGAATGTAAAGGTTCAGGCTTCTCTATTTTCACCCCACACTGTAAATAAAACATGTGATTGGAATTTCTTCAATTTGTTTTAATTTTCTGTTTATATTTCGTTGTTATTTCGTTACCAGCATGGCAACCCATAAAGCCCATGTTAAATTTTTAAAAATTCAAATTCATTTTTTGTGCTTATATTTGAGCCTATTTTATTTTTTAAAGGGATTCTGCACTTCTACAGGAAAATATCTTTCTAAAGGTATGCGTAGATTTTCCCTGCGATACACACGAGCTGAGAAAAAAGGTTTTAAAGAAACATGCTTGCCTATTAATATATAGACGAGAGGTCGTCCAGTGGTCGAAACTCGACCAAAAATATGTAATGTACTCACTTAACTATTTTCACCCCACACTGTAAATAAAACATGTGATTGGAGTTTCCTCCATTTGTTTTGATTTTCTGTTTATATTTCGTTGTTATTTCGTAACCAGCATAGCAACGCATAAGATCCATGTTAATTTTTTACAACTTTTAAACTTATTTTTTGTGCTTATCTTTGAGCCTATTTAAATTTATAAAGGGATTCTGCACACCTACAGGAAAATAGCTTTCTAACGGTATGCGTAGATTTTCCCTACGATGCACACGAGCTGAGAAAAAAGGTTTTAAAGAAACATGCTTGCCTATTAATATATAGATAGATTGATGATGATACAGCATAATTATGTTTACACATATTGATCGCAATCTACAGAGTTGCCAATAGTAGTATTCTATCGCCCTCAAACAGCCAGAACAGTGTTACATAACAGACTCCAGAAGTTTAACAAAATCGTTGAACTCACGCGAAGGTCAGAGCAGAGAAGACGTTGGCAGTTTCCCGCGGGTGCGCTGGCTTGTCTTCCTTCTTCTTCTTCCCATCATCCATGCCTCCTCACCACTGCACCTGGAAAAGACAACGGTTGTTAATGTAGAGGGTGGACATAATTTTTAGAACCAATCCTTACTCTGGAAGGGATGGGAATTTTTTGAGAGGTGACACGAAAAAGAGAAGGATTGAAAAAGGGATTGATTGAGGTATTAAGTTTTCAAAATTCGAAAAAAGATAAATCCAGTGTACTGTTGGGTACATGGAGACAATACACAGACGTAATTAAATGAATCCATTTCATTAGCCACCGATTGAATCCTATAGGTTTTTCGTAGTTTTGTAGTAGAGACAGATTGAACGACCGAACTCCGTAGTTGCTATCATAATTTTTCCCCAAGGCCCTTGAATTGAACATTGAACCCCCATCCCTCCTTAAATCCCATATACAGTCTGTATGGCGGAACCTGTCTCCAAACGCTTCATCTACCTGTGAACTGGATGGTGTAAAGCCTTGGCTAGTTCTAGTTAGGAGACAGGTACCATCATACAGACTATACCATAGAGAGCTTTAAACAATATTGTCTCAAAAGCAGACGAGGTAAAGAACATTTCTTATAGCTAGGGGGAAGGGAACTCTCCAAAAAGATACAAAAAGTACACCAGATTGATTCCAAACCACCGGGTTGCTACCAAACCGCGCCTGCAGACAGACGCCACAACACGTGGGTTGTGTTTGTATAGTTGTATCAACAATGTGGAGTCACAATGACATTACAATTACACTGTAACCTGACCTACATAAACTGCACATGTGTCATTGATAAGACGAGGACGTGGGTGTGGTCGCAGCATCGCTGATAACAGACTCTCGTAGTCGCGACGCTGACACATGGCATACGGCTATCGTGCATATCTATATTATATACTTGACATACAGCTCTTCAGACTGATTAAGTGTGTTCTGGCTATACGTTGTAAGCATAGTAATGTGACTTGTGGATCCCACTAATTAGAAAAGGAGTTGGACGATGTTTCTGAAAATCAACGTGAGTCAACGTCAAGTCAAGACAACTCGATCACGATTTTGTCATCGCTGGTTCAAACATGAGATTGCCTAAAAAAGAAACCAGGTTATGTCTAGTTCGAAGACCAACCTGTAAAATCTTTCTCCCGAGATTGGATAAGAAATCAGCAGATTTACTAACAACTTTAAACAAAGCTATATACTTTAAGCTGTCCTTGATCATTGGGCTATCCATTGATGGGTCAAGATCTCAATCATCCCTGATGACAAACATGAGTTTGGATAATATGACCAGTTACGGTCCCAATCTTAATTAATGATAACAACAGTGACGAAAAAAGGATTGATCAACTATGGCAAAAGAGGTTTTTCTAAAATTAGAAGTTTGATTGAAAATTGAAAATGAAAAATCCACTACATGATGATGGTTGGTTTAGTATTCATCCCATCAATGCGAGCTTTGATTTCTATCACTTCTTTCAACCATGAATTATTCAACGGGAATTAAATTAATCAAACCAAAGCTAGAGTTGTCAAACCGCTACTGTACTGTGATATTTACAAGACTATTGTGCAATAAAATATATTAATTCAAAAGCGACGACCCAGATAAAATTAAAGTAATGGTCTATTTATATCCAAGATCAAACATTTAGACAATCCGGTTTGTAGGCGAGTTGTCGCCAATATCAGTGGAGGATTATCATAAATTACCATAAACAGATAGTAAAGCAGGGTGTTGACAGTACTGTAGACGGTTTCAGCGACAATTTGGTTTTATAATACCTTACCGACAAAAGTGTTCCTATCTTTGAAAATAGTAAATTTGGTATTGGTATAAAATAAACATATGATTGAAAAAACAACTGTACTGACTGAGTGACTGTACTGTATTTTTCAATTTATTAGGAATACCTGAACTGTTTCGAAGACTTATTTCTTAAACGACTGACAAAAACCAAACCACAAAAGAGCCTTTTTAACGGGATAGGTTTCTTCACTACAAAATGTGTTAATGTGGTTCGTAAAAAATATTATTAGACCAACGTTTGTTTAAAATGGTCCTCTCAAATTAAAATGATCGTTCAGCAGATTTTAAGTATTTTTTTATATAATTAGACCCAATAGAGGAGTAGTGTATGACATGCTTTAATATACTGTACAATGCGTATCTAATTGCAATTTTTAATTCAACCACCCAGGTATCAAACCTTAGGCCTAATTCCAACTTGGTATTCTTCTTCCATAAGAATAAGATCGATGTAAAATATGATCAATTCCCCTATATCAACAGAACATCAACAAACGAACAACAAATTACAACAATGAAACAATATAAACAGCTGATTGTATAACTATGTTTAGACAGCTGCTGGATAGCATGAAACTACCAATTACTTTGTTAAACTACAGTACTTTGTTTCTTTGTTAAACTGTACCAAGTTATAGGCGCTGAACCCCAAGCCAATAAGTTTGTAAGATAACTGACGCGCTGAAGGTAGCCAATATTAGGTTAGGAGTTGCGACGTCGTCGATGTAACATTTTATCAACGTCAGAGGAGTAGGGTCGATACTGGAGTGGTCCGAATACACCGATACAACTGAAATATTGTAGATTGCTAAAGTCGGTTGGGGTTGGAACTGTATTTGTGTATCGAAGTTGTAATCGATGCATTTTGAAGACGTTATATTTCAATGTAAGGTTCGGTGTGATTTTAAATGTAAGTAAAATTAATCGGTAATGATGAGAACAGTGATTTGTCACGCTGAATTGAGTTGATAACATTGTAAGTTACATAGTGTCAGATATAGCTAATGTTTGACAGAGTTACAGAGATACAACTCACAGCTTGTCGGCGTCGTATCATCAATTGTGGTCAACACTTGAATTGGTCAACCACTCAATACCATTGACTCGGAGCGTGATAACTCAACTGCTAGGACGCCTTCGCATCTCCGACTAGTCCATTTGTGACTAAACTTTACTATCATCCGTGATATCAATGATATTGATAATTATTACTCTTGTATATATGATTGGAAATAGTAAATGAACTCGAATATTGTTTTCGAATTATTATTGTTTCTCGGAAGTAACGTTTCTTAAATATAAGTTTCATCATTAAGACGCTAAACATCCTTTATGATAATGATAATTGCAGACGTAGCCTTAGATATTTAAGCGATAACCTTTTGTTACTTTCACGTAATATTTTGGTAAAAGAAGCTTTAAAAGAAGAATGGTGTATTCACGTGCACTATTAAGTTGGAAATAATTACAAAATTACATTTGGCTGGTGCGAATTAATTGTCCAACATTTTATCACATGAATAATGATTCCTCTTGGTAGATTGCTCAACTTTGCAAGTACGAGCAAAGCTGGGCTTAACGCATTGGATTTAGCTATACGAAGCGGAGAAGTTTTAATTTTTTTTATTTCAAGATTTAATAATGCAATAACAATGTCAACATAAGGTATTTTCAACTTGGTTATCTATGGCGGCTACCTAAAGAAACCATACTATGTACTGTACAGTATAGTACTCTCGAATAGAATGCATTAAGTGTATAAAACACCAACCCACGTTCTAGCAAACAAAATTATCTACACCAATATTTTTGATGGAACAAATTTCAACTACGACTCTACAAGTCTGACACAGCATAAAATCTCAATAAATATTAGTCTTGCTTTCAACAGCTGATAACCAATTGATAGACAAACAATGCTTTGAGATTAAACGAACAGGGAAATGATTTAACGCGCTTTCAAACCAGATACGCTGGCCCCAGTTTTCATTGCATAACCAATTGGACTGAGGTTGTTGCTTATATCGTCATTTAAACAGCAAAGTGCATATGATACCAACATCAATCTCAAACATAAAATTTACTTGCGACCAAATCACTAAATAAATAAGAACCATGTAAATCGACTCTACTCATGATCTACAGTTTGTTAAAAAGAAGTACGGCCTTCAACGTGTTCCAAGTAAGCAATTTAGTTGGTCACACGCCGCTGTTTTTGCCGCAAACTAACCTTTGCTAGTTTAGGCTAATTTCTCTATTGTTAGTTCCACCTTTGTTGTGCTACAATGGAACACTCAACGTCTGTTCAGGTTGTGTTTCTTCGTCATAACGATCGGAAGTTTGTTAATTCAGTGAGGAAATTTGTAGCGCCTATTAGAAATTTTTTAGCACCTTTGAGGTGACTTTAACTAAGAAAGACATTTGCACAACATTGAAAACTGTAACGATTCGGGGAGTATGTTAAGTCAAAATAATTCAGACACTTAAAATACGGATTTAAACAAATCAAAACTGATCAAGAATGCCGAGTAGTATTCGTTCACATATCTTTGGAAACGGTAAAAATGCGTGTTTCCTCCAGACATATGAGTAGTCTGGTGTGAAACTATTCTGTAATTAGTACAACACGTCAGTTTTTTGTTTAAATTGGTTAACAGTTGGTTCAACTAGTTTGTATTGCAATACCATTCTAATGATATAGTTTGGGAACATTTTCGACGATGTGACGAATATTAATAAGGTTATGAAAGGCATATTTTTAAAATCGATTGGTCAAGTATTTTGAAGTAATTGCTTAAGTGTGAAAATAATGACCAGCAAAGTATGACCACTGGCTTTTGAACTCTACATTACAAATTTATTTCAGAAGTCGAGACTTTTGGTGTCTCAGTCCAAGGGAAAGTTCCGTCCCGTAGGTTCAAAGGAGGCGACCGGAAACAACAAGGGAGATCCCTACGTAATATTGATACATGACGTCACAGCTGGCAACGGTACAGTCTCCACCTGCGAAAATAGACTCAGACACTGGACTGATCAGTGTGCGTGGGCCAAACTGGCTGACCTGGCGAATTTGGATTAATTTAAATATTAAAACGAGTTAAGACAAAGAGGTGCACATCAATGCCAGAGATGTGGTTATAGTGCTCCCTGTAGAATATGAAGGTCTCTGCATTGACTAAGGATTCCCTTGTCTGTGGTCTCTGGTTCGATTTTTTGTCCAGGTCGATCCTAGATGATCAC